AGAGAGAGAGAGAGAGAGAGAGAGAGAGAGAGAGAGAGAGAGAGAGAGAGAGAGCCGATAAGTCTCCAACCCAGCGCCTCACCGCGCGCTACTTGCGTCGATAGAATGAGCAAACTGTCGCCATCAGAGAGTGTTGCTGTGCGCCACGGCGTAGCCGTGGCGGGGTCCACTTGTTCAGATTAAAAAATATATATATACCAGGCAGCTCTGTTCGACGATATACACCACGACTTCGCTAGCACCCTGCTACGGTTTTCTCCGGTCAGGTCTAGCGGCAGTGGTCGGGACTGTCACTACACGGCCATGCTGTGCCTCTAGTGCCAGCGGCGTGTCTGGAGTGTATTTTTTGGGTGTGGCAGACGTTTCTTTGTTTCGTGGGTGTTTTGCTGGCTTACCTTGTGATGGGGTGTGAACCGACAGTCTGTAGAGTTTTCCATCTGGTGTGGGTAAGTGATACTCTGCTTTGATTTTCGTCACAGGTACCTTGAGGGCAGTGGTTGGTGCCCACCTCGGGGTGTGAGTTGTCGGGCAGTCGTTGATGCTTAACCACAGTCGGGGTTAAGGTGGATTATCACTTACAGTGTAATCAGTTAGGTAGGGGATTCTGCAGACTGTTGAGGGTTATTCCTCACAGCCCCTCGTTTGTTGTCCTCTTCTGCCTACGGTTTACCGGGAAGCTCTGTTTGACTATATATATGTTTTGTTTTCTTTTTTCCTTTTTTTTAAGTCCAGGGTGTTTTAGAGGCCAGTCAGTGTGTGCACAGTGATCACCTGGAACTGTGAGCCGCGGGTGTCCTGAAATATGAGACCACCTCCCAACCCATCCTCACGTGAATACTCCTAGCGCACCCCCTATCCCACTATTCTCCCTAGTGTGACCCGCACTCAGGACCCAACAGCAGTGATAGGCACCAGGGCTGATAGATTGCCCAGCCCTGGTGGAAGCAGAATCGGACGAACCTTGTCGAACGGGAACTTTGGACGCCAGGCCCAGGCAATGAACTACAGGCCGCATATATATATAGCCACTAGACAGTTCTATCCGAGTGTCAGTAGGAACTGCACCCAATGGCACCCTATCCAACCTACCTGAACCAACTGCAGGCACTAGACCCCACCAGTGACTAGCTCCCCAGCCTGTTTTTTGTGTGTATATTCTGTGAATCTGTGTAGACAGTGTCATGTGTGGAAACTTGTGTATGTAACTTGTAAGCGATATATAATTCGCAAACTATGTGTGTATGCCCGAAAGCTATGTGTACTCTGTGAATCATGTATCGAGGAGAGAACGGGGCCAGCTGGACAAGGACCCCCCCCAAGGACCGAACCAAGCTTGAACCTGTGACCTTGTAACATCTAATCCAAGACTCTACCGTATGAGCAACTACCGGAAATGGAATGATCGTGTGATATGCCAGACTGGGGAGAACATCAGAACACCCGAGACCAACACCCCAAGCAAACCCTGTGAAACCCACAACCAACATACAACACCGTGGACTACCCTTGGGTGGTGCGCAGGCAGTGTCTGTAATAGTACCATGCGTCAGCCCAAGGGGATGTGTGTCCAGCCGTGCGTCAATCGAACGCCCTGCTGGTGTATATATGTATTACTAATATTTGTGGGTGGGTAAACTTGTTCTCCGACGAACGACTGTCGGGCCTCCCTTCAGCGGTGTGTGTGTGTGTGTGTGTGTGTGTGTGTGTGTGTGCGTGGCGGGGGAGGGCAACCCCCCC